TTTTATCTTGAGCTTAGAGAGGTTCAACTCAACCTTACCACTGCAGAGCCAGTTGATTTTTAAGGAATACTGGTGTAGAAACTAATGACATTAAAGAGATTCCAGTCAATCAAGGATTTAGTGAACCCAATAAAAACCTGCTAATTGCTTGTGTTATATTCTTAAAAAACATAACAAGAAAAGGGAATATATTATGGTGAAACAGTCTTCTTTAATAACAAAGTAGGCTACACAACGTGGGGGCGAGAGGTTTCTCCAAAATAGTTTGAGAATTCAAGAAACTTACAGCAACCCCAGTCACATAGTTGACACTAGGTGGAGCTGTCAGTGGTGTAACTCCAGGTGACTTAAATATTGCGTAATTACTGCTGTCGTACCACACACGTACGAATACAGAATAGGATATAGAATCTTCAAGTTTCTTTCCTAGAATAAACAAACATATCATTGCCATCCATTTCAACCCTCGCCATACAACAATTGTACGACAATTAGTATAATTGTATATATAATGTGCACCCCTTATTCTTGAGTAAATCTGGAAATATCTGTAAATGCAGTGAATGATATACAGCCCAACAGAAGCAAAAAACAAGTTGGCAAATCACAGACACCATAATAATGAATGGTGTTATGTTGTTCTCCATGGTGGTAGAAAATCAACAAGTTGGCTTAACAAAGACACCATAATAATGAATGGTAATATGTTGTTTTCCATGATGGTAGAAAATCAACAAGTTGGCATAACTCAGACACCATAACAATGATGATAATATGTTGTTCTCCATGATGGTAAAAAATCAACAAGTTGGCATAACACAGACACCATAATAATGAAGTGGTAGCCTAATATGTATTCAGTGATGGTAAATATAAGAAGTTTGCATAACGCAGACACCAGATTGATAATAAGTAATATTTCCTTATTATTTATTTACCCAATCCAACATGAAGTGATAACTTACCTCGTGGTAATGGTATAATAACATTTGTATTTTCACCAGCATCATACCAGACACGTTCAGATGCTGAATTAAAAATACCAGTTGGTGTTGGATTATTGGTTTCTCCTGCACTTACTTCGTATCTAGAAACAGAATAATATGTCATGATGGAGAAGTACTTGGGTAAATCAGTCATATGCCAATCCGATTTCTGATCCTTAAATCGAAAGAAATGAGTCCAATAGACATCCTGGATAATTCAAGATGATATAATCATCAAGGTATTGTCTGAACAAATTATGTAGACTCTCTGAAAAGATGGCATCTGACAATAATTAATGTAAACATGAATTTAACGTACCGTATTGGAGTTTTACCCTGAGTATTAGAGATAGTCCAGCCAGCAGCTAGATAATTATTGCTGGAAGTATAGCTGACTGATTGATCAAAGTTTCCCTGTAGGTCTGTCACATCAACTACCTCTATCAAATTATTCCCATTTCCTGAAGTGATGTCATTACAGCTGTTAGCTTGCGAACATTTCTCATTCTCAGCAGCACATACGCAGTGGCCATTACAGTCGTAGGGTTGACATCGTCGCTGTAAATCCAGAAAACCTTCTCCAAGTATAAACTCAGCATGAGCTGGTTGACTCTTTAACCCAACCTAGGGAAAGAAAGAAAAATGAAATACGATCTACGTTGACGGACATTTTCTTTTTTACAAAGTTTGACTTAGTAACTTGAAAATCTGACTTTGTATCTTGAAAATCTGACTTTTTATCCTGAAAATCTGACTTTGTATTTCTGACTTTGTATCTTGAAAATCTAACTTTGTATCTTAAAAATCTGACTTTGTATCTTGAAAATCTGACTTTGTATCTTGAAAATATGACTATGTATCTTGAAAATATGACTTTGTATCTTGAAAATATGACTTTGTATCTTGAAGATATGACTTTGTATCTTGAAGATATGACTTTGTATCTTGAAGATATGACTTTGTATCTTGAAAATATGACTTTGTATCTCAAAAATCTGAGTGCAATTGAAATAGTATCTGGAATATCAAACTAAGTATCTTGCGTATTCGGCTTCGTAGACTGCACGTGTTTATGTTTATAATATGATGTTACCTATACATGGCGTTTGTCATTTTAATATTGATCAAATCAATACCTACCCCATTAACTGCCCAAACAGCTATAAATACACTATCACCAATACTGAGAGACTGAGTTTCAATTTTAAATGTTTGAAGTTTTCCCTCGTCTTTAAAATCTTCACCATTTACATCATGATCTAATACCACTGGTTTATTTTCCTAGAGAATTAAATATTATTAGCTATAAGGAGAGTCAAATTGGGAAATTTGAAAAAATTTAACACCACTGGTTTATTTTTGTGAAGGAGCCAGATAGAGCATTAGAAAACTTCATTTGCCTTGTTACATCAAGCATATGGGATCAATTTTCTTTCTTCATAGTTACAGTCAACCCAGCTGTAAATGGGTACAAATAATGATGGAAAGATCAATACCAAGAGGTTTGACCAAAAAAAAGCTGGTAGAAAGGATTCTCATCCAACAAAGTTTTTGTACTTGTATAAAAATGGTTCTTTCTGTTATTCATAATATCAAAACCAAACAATATCATAGATACAGTAAAATCATTTATTTGCATTAGCACCAAATTTTGTAAATTTTTCCACATTGGAGTTTCCCTTTTTTTCTTTGGGCCGTATAATAAGAAAATATATAAGATGCAGGCCTACCTTGTTTAGATCAGTAAAGAAAGGTTGAGATCCAACACTAACTATATACTTTAGGACCCCAGTGTGAAGATCAGAGAATCCTAACCAAGCTAAATATATAGCATTCGCTTCCCATCTTATAGCCTCCACGTTACCTCGATATAACTTAGCTGCATGCTCACTTGATACTCCAAACATACCTAGAATATACATCATAGAACTTAAATTAGCTAAATATTCTTTCTTCATTCACTGAAAGGAATGCTAAAGGCCTAAACTAAATATAGAATTAAGCATTATTAGAAAAATGGACTCTCTGAAGGAATGCCAACCTAAATACCAAATAAACATTATTAGCTTTGTGGTCTCTCTGAAAGAAAGATGGAGTTGCCAAACCTAGAAACCAAATTAACATAATTAGCTTTGAAAGGGATATTGAATAAACTTAGTGTACTTGTAGACTCTTTAAAAGAGTTGGCAAACCTAAATGCCAAATAAACAATATTATCCAAGTGAACTCTCTGAAAGGAATGCTGAGAAAATCTCTGTCTAGATGCCAAAAACCTAAATTACAAATAAATATCATTAGCTATGTGGACTCTCTAAAAAGAAAACTGAGTTGACAAACACAAAGACTTCTCTTTGAAAGATTTTCTGCAAGTCAACAAGGACTCTGACAAGATTTTTGGAAAGTGTCCAAACTGAAAATGAAAGTAGAAACATTACCTGCTGTGGGTGGAGAAGAGTCGATTAAGATATCATCACTGATCGTAGACTGACACAATCCAGCTAGATTACAACTGATCACTTTAACATTGTATTTACTACCGTCATGTAGCGCCATTAACGGAAACGTGAATTCTTTTAATACACTCGGAATCTAACAAATATAATCATATAAGTTTAATACATTTTACATCTCAATACTTGACATTTTCCCATTGACTTTTTTTTGCAAAACACAAAAAAGGTTTGACCAAGGCCTACTGGTAGACAAGATCCTTGATATATCATCCACAAGAGGCCTGGACAACCACCAACTTCTTTTCCCTTTCACCACAGCCTACCCTCAACTAACCCCTACGAGCAAAATCAACTACTGCTTCAATAACATACAGATTAAGTTAAATTTTCTTCATTTTTTACTTGAAAGAACCCCAAAGACTAACCTCCATGGCTGCTGAATCAAAATCACCCATAACATGAGGAGCGACTGAGATATACTGTCTCTCAATATCCGAATCCGGATCTTCTGAACTCCACATTACTTTAATACTAGATCGACTGACTGAGCTCCCTGATTTTATGGACGAGAAGGATGAGGACAGTGTTGGTTTCTGGGATATCACAGGCAGCGATGTATCAATTATAAAACCATTTGATGTCGACTCACTCGATAAACCTGTAAAATTGTTGTGATGACTGTGTTACCTGTGTTACCTGTGTTACCTGTGTTACCTGTGTTACCTGTGATGACTGTGTTACCTGTGTTACCTGTGTTACCTGTGTTACCTGTGTTACCTGTGTTACCTGTGTTACCTGTGTTACCTGTGTTACCTGTGATGACTGTGTTACCTGTGTTACCTGTGTTACCTGTGTTACCTGTGTTACCTGTGTTACCTGTGTTACCTGTGTTACCTGTGATGACTGTGTTACCTGTGTTACCTGTGATGACTGTGTTACCTGTGTTACCTGTGTTACCTGTGATGACTGTGTTACCTGTGTTACCTGTGTTACCTGTGTTACCTGTGTTACCTGTACATTCCTTGTTGACAAAATAAAGATCTCCAACTTTTAAAAAACAAATGGTGGTAATGGGTTCTAATCTCGGTCGGTGTGTAAGTCCATTACTTGTTATTTACATTGTAAAAACTTGGTTGTTTCTTTCTAGACATGCTATGATAAGAACAAACCCTTGGTAGAAATCTAGTTGGATTACAATGGAGTAATGGAGACAAAAATTATCAGAAAAAAAACAACAAATCTGATTAAGATTGACATTTACCAGCTTTGTTGATTGCCTTCACTGTAATAAATATCTTCACTCCAACTGGTAAGAGTTTATTGTTCGGCAAATTAGATTTATACATTCTTTCTACCACAGGCAGTACTTCTGTTTTTAGTATTTCATCACCGCCCTGAGTCGTACCAACTCGCCATTCATATCTTACTATACCAGATTCACTATCTGTAAAACCTGACCATGTGGCTCCTATATAGTTCCTGTAATTAAATAAACAATATGTGGACTCTCTTATGGACAGGTATGATCCTAAATTAGATATGAATTGAGTCCAATAGCCACCCTGGTGAGTCAAATAGCCACCCTGGTGAGTCAAATAGCCACCCAGGTGAGTCCAATAGCCAACCTGGTGAGTCAAATAGCCATCCTGGTGAGTCTAATAGTCACCCTAGTGAGTCCATTAACCATCTTGGTGAGTCCAATATCCATCCTGGTGAATCCAATAGCCATCCTGGTCAGTCCAATAACCATCCTGGTGAGTCCATTAACCATCTTGGTGAGTCCAATAGCCATCCTGGTGAGTCCAATAGCCACCCTTGTGAGTCAAATAGCCACCCTGGTGAGTTCCATAGCCATCCTGGTGAGTCCAATAGCAATGAAGTTTTTGTGCTCAAGGAGTAGAATTTGAAAAGCAATAAGTCACTGATGCCTACCTTATAGCCTGATAATCTATGTCTCTGTCTTTAGTTCCATCCATCACAATACCAGAAGTAGGTGGCGTTAAATCTAGGATAACTCCATCAGACGACACAGACGTACACATGTCAGCCATATTGCATCCTGTTACTGTAGTGATATATCTCCTACCAGGTGTTAGATTAATATGGTGGAATGTATAACCTGTCAATCAAAATAAAAATTCATTATGAACACGCTCACACACACCGTCCAAATAGCTAATATTGTTTAATTGGCCTATTTATCATACTTTTTACAAGAAAACTTGCTTGCAATCCGAGCGAATATAATTGATTAATAAACAATGACTTACTCTGAGAATTTCCAGCTTCGAATTCAGAGACGACATCATCACAATCAGCACAAGTTCCCAGTTTTATTTTATAATGTTTGATGGGTGAATGTGGATCGTGGAATCCTCGCCACTGTACAGCGAGTTTACTGCTATCAATTATATAATCAATATCATCAGTATCGACAGAGTCACTGCCCTTAACATCATTAACATGACCTCCAGTAGGTGGCGTACTATCAACTATTACAGGTCGTGAGGTCAAGGTCGTTGTCATTCCTGCTCCATTCTTAGCCTGGAAAAAAATAATGAAGGAATGCAAGAAATGAATGAATGAATGCAAATGGATGAATGAATGCAAATGGATGAATGAATGATGCAAATGGATGAATGAATGAATGATGCAAATGAATGAAAACCAAAAATTATGTATCATAATTTTAAAGAGAAAATTGACTGAATCCATACCTCAACAGTAACATAATAAGTTGCCCCATCTTTTAACGGAGGGTCTAAAACAGCTTCTCCACAATCTTCAACAGTCTGGATAAACTTTCTAACGTCTTGATGTCCTGGTCTACTACCTATAGTCCATCTATAGCCTGCTACACCGCTCTGGTCGTCTTTAAATGATCCAGTCCAGCTGAAATCAGAAAAAGGAATTAAAATGAGAATTAAAATCTAAGAGAATTTAAATTTGATAAATACATGTGTTTTGAAAATGTTGTGTACTGTTCAGTCAGGCGTCTGTCATTCTTGCAATTTCATTTAAACTAAGCATTTTTTTTACTTCACTATCACAAAGATCCTTAGATAGTATTAGCAGTTGGTGAATTTGACGATGAATTAAGCAGCTCACCAAGCTGAGAGAGTAGCGGTACTGTGTATATAGGCTGTTGGGAAAGTGATAGGTTTGGATGTTATTTGTGGACGGCTGTTATCAACTATAAAGCCTTCTGAATGTACTGTTCTTGATCGATTCACAAAATCAAAGGCTGTAAATACAAAATTCATAGGCTATAAATATACACCATACGTTAAAAATACAAACAGGATATGCCCAATGAACAAAGAAAGGGGAGACAACAACAAAAAATTATAAAAAGAGGATAAAAGCAGAAGTCAAATGTCTGATTTTTAGACACCAATCTTCTCATGTTGCATGAGAGTCACATTCAAGATTTATGACCACTATTCTTATTCATGGTATTAGGGGGCCGACTCTCGAAAGCACTGGCACAGGCATTAGAATTTTTCTTACCTTGAGGAGGATTCAAACCCACGGCACCTAATTGCATAGCAGACGACAATCCAACTCGCTACCGACTGAGCTATTCCACTGTCCTAGCAGACGACAATCCAACTCGCTACCAACTGAGCTATTCCACTGTCCTAGCAGAGGACAATCAAACTCGCTACTGACTGAGCTATTCCACACCCACTATATGTATGGATGCTTACCTTGAAGGGTGATATAGTAGGTGTGTCCACTCTGTAAGTTTAAACCATGGAAAACTTTATGATTGACCAAACCAATGTTCTGTTTCGCCAAAACATCCTCTCCCCCTTTTACTGACCCTACAGAAAAATAATTGTACAGACTAAATGGTTTGACACATTTCCTAGCACAGTTTTTCACAAGTTTAAGACCACTTTTTTGTCACAGACCTGCCTGTAAAAATGCTAAAACTGAGTATATAGTTGCAATGGTGACTACGGGCTATTAAGATTAGAGTCCATAAAATAAGATTTTTAAAAAAGACTATGACCAAATTTTATTGCAATTTAAAAATTCACATTGTCAAAATTAGGCCTGGGCTGTTTTTGGATTGTGGAGACATTGTAAAGATCCATAAAATTTGAAGAAAACTAACCAATTTCAATATGATATTGTGAAATACCACTAGGATGTACCACTTTACCACCATTTTCTTCCAGGTCTTTAAAGCCATCCCAATAGACCGTTAAATCATTACTGGAGGGCTGAAATAAACAGTGTGATTAAATTACTTAATTCCATCTCCCCAACCAAAAACCACCATCTTATTACCCAAAGTGGAGCAGAAATGAAAGACATAAAACTCTATTTCATTTCATTTTATGTGAATCAGCTCAAAATCGAAAACTCCAATTGAAAATGAACGGAGCTCTCTCACAACTCTTGAGTCAAGTGGAAAGTTTCAAAGGCATCTCTTGACAGACATCCAATTCCAAAACATCAAATTCCAAAGATAATAAAATTTGTACCTGATATTTTGAGTCCAGAAGATTATAGACCCAAACTCGACCTGCAGTGGGCGGAGTCAAATCAACCGTCACCCCATCACTACATTCGTTAATTTCTGGTATAGTCTCCGTCCATCTCTCATGCTTGATTGTTTTAGCGTCTGCGTGAATACAGACGTGGTATCGTCGGCCATGTTGTAAACTTTTATCTGGTTTGATATTTATAAACTCTTGGTCTACAAAATAATCAAAAAATATTAAATCGTTAAATGAAAGAGTCATATTATGCTGAAAATAGACAGCAAAAAATACACAATCTTCATCAGGTCAGCTAGTATTTTACCCATATATGCCTATGAGCATAAATATCAAACTCATTCAACAGGACTCAGAGAATATTCTATAATCAATAAATCCTACATACCAGTATTTCCACAGACTATGACAGTAGGATGACTACATGGGTCTTTAATGATCTGTTTTGATTGGACGAAATGTGTCGTTAATCCGAAAACTTCATCTTGAATTAGTCCCCACGTGTAATTTCTGTGACGTAACGTGGGCCATACAGCTGATATGATGTCATCATATGGAGTATAATCTACGTCTGGTTTCAACCATTTGGCGTTCTGCTCCAATCTGATTTTGTTTCCTTTACTATTACTGTTTGAATCTGTAATACGCAAACAAAATTTTAGTTCCATCTGAATGACTAGTTATTTTTGACTGCAGTTTTGACCATTGAAAATTCAAAAAGTGCCAACTTAACAAGCAAGTTGTTAGTAATTGGTCTATCATTTGAACGATTTCATTATCATATCAATTGCAAAGGATTCGATCAGAGGTTTTGAATTGCAGGTGACCTTAGTCCACCATTGATACTTTAATGACATTGTTTCTTTTCAATCTATGTATATAAGGGACACTATATTAGATTCACACCATTATAATTTACAGTCAGATGTCTGTGGGTCTTGTTATTCCACTAAATTCTCGTTTCAACCCTTTATTGACCGTCGGACATTTGAGCATCCCCGTCGGTCATGTCCGGCAAATAGAGCCAAATCAACAGCCCTGGTGCATACATACCAGACGACACAGGTGTCCCTACAGCATCTATTACAATAGATGGTACAATTAACATAGGGTCTATAGCAGAACAGTTTTTAACGTCTGCTGATACGATTCTTGATAGTCCTGCTTTATTAAATATTCTAACAGCCAGTCGACGACATTCACTGTAATCTAACTTATCAGCTAGGTTGATTGTTAACTGGAACTAAAACATAGATAAGGTGTTAGATAATAAAGACTGGCAATGCCATGCAGTGTGCAATGAGGGAAATTTTGTCAAATTAAATTATAATCTAAATTAAAATGAAATTGAGTTCTCTATCACACTTTTCTGCTCCAGTTTGAGCTAATGAAGACAAGCAATACCATACAGTGTAGAATGAGGGAAACAACATATCACCAAGTTACCTTATTTTCTGCCAGTTTTTGAACGGAATCCAGTTTCGTCCAAGTTGTTAGTAGATGACTATTATGTTGATGAGACATTAAACTCCATTCGTATCTGTCTGTTGATGTTTCCATAGTACATACTTTACTATTCTGTTTTTTATAGTCTAATTTTACCAATAACTAAAAAAAAACAGAAATATAGTTTTTGCACATTACCACAAAAAAATAATATTTATATATATTTATAGGAGTATACAGATAGCTCAAATTGAGCCCTATCAGCTGTTAAAATAACTATATCTCATTAATAAATTACCTGAGTTTGAGACTGGACTGTTTGTTCTGTGACAGTCATTGTTGGCTGAGCAGGTTCGTTTAAAATCGAGACACCATCACTAACTATAGCCTGGCTACAGATGGCACCAGAACAGAATTTAATACTACTGCGATAGGTTCGACAATAATCTAACTCTACTGACTCCATCAAATATCCAGAGTTTAATATATAATCCTTCTCTATTACAGTATTCCAGATATCTACAAATACAACATAATGGAGTTTTACACCCTGTTTTCAAATGTTATGTCCTCATCTCATGATGTCATTAATGTAATGTAATGTAAGGTTATTGGCAAGAGCTCTTCTCATGCTGACATATGTTTCAGATACACAATCCTCATCAGGACAGCTACTGTAGTTTAAGAACCGGGAGTTAACATTCCAATATAAGACTTAATGTAATGTAAGGTTATTGGCAAGAGCTCTGCTCATGCTGACATATGTTTCAGATACACAATCCTCATCAGGACAACTAGTAATAGAAGCGTGCTGTTATTTAATGTGATCTTAAAATAGCTCCCTACCGTCCGTGTCTAGCTGTTTAACCTGTAATGTCCAGTGTATATCAGGATACAGATGTTTGATATCCTCGTTCACCTTCCACCAGGCGGCATAGCTGGT